ACACCAAAGTTAGAAAAGAAAGTTCACCTACATCGAGTCTTCGGTTTGAATTAGATATAAAAGAGTAAACATAGCTAATACATAGTAAGTTGGGCCTCTGTTGAGAGAAATCCACAGCTGTGTTCTGCGTTAGTAAAAGACATCTGTAGACACTTATAAAAGCACCTAGAGTGCAATAAATAAAATGAGTGGTAAGCCATTTCTGCTTCCAGTAGATTAACGAGTTTAGTAGATGAGTACGTTTTACTTTGTCCCGCCCCAGCCCCACGAGAAGACCATATCTGAGGGTGTAAAGGTGACGATTATCGTTGTTCTGGAACTTGTCTCAGTGGACCTCTCTGCTGACGCCTGCAGTGTCCTCACACAGACACACAGGGGCGCTGCGCCGGGCAGTCTTGCTGGCTTGCAGAGGGCGTTGTCAGTGTGTGTGTAGGGGGTCTGCACCCGGCGGTAGGTTAAGGCGAGCGTTGGCCGTCCAGCCTGTAGGGTGTCGGTGCAAGGTCCTGGTGTTTGCTTTTGCAATGCCGTGGTGCTATGAGAGGTGGAATGCGGAAACCGGGCTCGATCCAGGCCCGGACGGATCCCCAGCCCACGGAGGCCACGGCCGCGGGGAGTGATTGGGCCCCGGACAAAGGAACTTCTCGGGAAACCCAGGGAGGGCGTGACCTGCATACCTGCCTGGAGAGGAATGGGAGTGGGTGTGTGTGTGCGCGTGTGTGTGTGTGTGTTTGTGTGTGTGTGTGTGTGTGTGTTCTGCTAATTGGTATCTATTAAAATTTACTTGCTTCTTGCTCTCTGTGAAATGCAGGAGGCCGCTGTGGAACAAGTTCTTTAAGAGGTCTATGGGCTGACACACTGGCGTCCTGTTTTACTTTGACCTAAGAGAGAGAAGAGATGGTTTTAATTGAGGGGAGAGCCCTGGGTGCCTGTTGCTTTCACCTTTTTTCACCTTTCTAAGCACAAGAGCAAACAAAAAAGAAAAAAGAGAAAGAGAAAGAAACCCAAGTCGGGCTTGAAATAGATGATTTCCCACTCCTTTTCTTTTTTTCTCAGTGCAACTGCCTGGATAACAAGGCCACGTATGGTCATTTAAGATCTGTTTCTGTGGATGCATGAATTGAATATGTATTGCTTCACAATCAGGCTGCCAAAAAAGCTTGCAGTGCTTTCCCGCGTGCTCTCGTCCACCACAGCCACAGGACGTTTTCACCGGCAGGGGAATGGGGCCGATTTACACTTGCGATGGTGCATAAATTAGTGGTTGTCAGGCCACTGCTTTGTTAGGAAATTAACCCGTGGACATTGGAATTTTCTGGGCTGTAACTTTGTAGATATCCACTTGTCTCAATGAGATTAACAAAATGTGTGTGTGGGGGGAACCCAATTCAAACCTTGCTTCTTCTAGATGGATTATAGATAATTTTAAAAAATTGCAAACCAAGGACATTCACCAAACTTAACTGAAAATAAAGAGGACCCAGATCTGCCAGAGACAAGCCCTGGGACAGGGCTATGGCTTTGAGTTGGTGTGTGGGGTGGGGGTTTCTCGTCTCTGCCCTGGCTGCTGGCTATACGAGCTTGCTATGTAGATGGGAAATCTCACAGCGAAAGCTGCACGTTGCCTTTAGGGTTTGCTTTCTCTCAAAAGGACAGCTTTTATTTCCAGCTGCTATATAATATTTATAGGTTCTTGAACTGGCCCATGATGTTAAATTACTCTTACTTTACAAGACATATTTATGGCAGGTTGACAGGAGAGGGGACATTTCCAATGACAAAGTCAGAGAGCTGCTCAGGGCACTGGCTCTCCGCAGGGCATGAGGGGTAGTGGTAACTCTGTTCTGACTTTCTGCAGGACTTGAATAAGCAGTGGCTCTCAGAGCAAGGGTTTTGGGGGACACAGAGTGGAAGAGGCCCTTCTTTCTGCACCCCATGGTGTACAATCAAAAGGGACTGGGCGGATGTTCAGATGGGAAGGGCTGCCACAGAGGCTGAAGATGAATCAGTGTAAGGCGCACCAGAAGTAAAATAAAACCAGTGAACTCACAGCCCACCAGAGCACTGTGAGAGAACCCTGAACCAGGGTGCGGGAAAGATGGCTGGCAATTTCATCTGCTCACTGACTAGTTGTTTTGACTTTTGTTTTCCTTTTGCTTGCCTCAGTTCCTGTTTTGTGAAATAAAATTCAAGTGTTCAGGATCTGAGGAATCCTGTTGGATGTTTGATGGAAGGGATGTTAGTAGAATTTTGAGGAGTAACATTTTCTGATGTAGATTATTCCTAACTTCCAAGATTTGAGTTTTATTAAACATTTAACTTATTTCATGAACAATGAGACTTGAGGGTTCTCATGTAATGTTACCGTTTTCAGTCACTGCAGAGAAAGAAATACTTTTATTACTTTTATTTGGCTTTTCAAGTATTGTACAAAATCATGAGAAGTTTTGTGTTCAAGGAATTTAATTCTTGATAAAGATACACATTATTTGAAGGAGGCCTTTTTAAAAGACCAACATTAGAATTATAAATACCTGACTTGGAACAATAGACTTGCTTATGCATAATTAGCTGTCATTATCGTAGCTGTCCACTAGGTGAATGGTTACATCTAATTTACTGTGCTTTGATCATATTTATTGGCTGATCCAATGCAATGTTGTATGATATTGTCAGAAGAAAGTCAACAATATCTACAAACCTTGTGGATATTTTCATCTAACCCTGAGCTCACATTGTTACATGTTGCTTAAGCATACGTTATGTGACGTTAACTCCAAAACATTAGAGTTTTTGGAATAATACATCATTTTTGCTGACTTCTGTCTTGATAAAGACCTTTTGTAAACAGTGTTGGTTAACAGAAACATTATTGCCACTACTAATACATTATGTTTATTGACCACTTACTATGTGACATGTCCTGTGTTTTACATGCTTCACATGCATTATATACAGTGGCAGAACAATGCAATGAAGTATGAATATTATCATTTCTATTTTGCAGGTGAGACTCACTAAGATTAAAGTTATCCAAAGTTATATGCTTAAGGTCATAAATAATTTAGTCTCAGGCAGTTTGTCTTCAGTAGGTCATTTCAGTATTTCTGATTGCTTTGCTCTTTTAGAATGCTTTACAGGATGTTACAATAAACCATTGAGAGGAATGGCGAAGAATTTGTAGGAAATTTCACTTTTCTTTCTGTTGTAGCTGTCACATCTTTCTGAGAGGTTAGGAAAGTTATGGCAAGTGCAGCCAACAAGTATAGTTTATGATAAAAGAAAAAGAATCATTAGAGGAAGAAGAGATTGATGAGTGCTTCATAAAGAAATTATATTTTAAGGTAAAACTTGAAGGATAATGGGGTTTAAAAGAGTAGAATTTTGAAAAAATAGGTCAATTATCAAGAACTCAACATGGAGAACTAGAAAAATGTATGACTTATTTGGAGAAGGCAAGCATTCTGGTGCAGCTGGAAAAAAAATCACTGTGGGAAGGCATCATATTACTTATCCCCTCAGCAGATTAGAAGCTTTAGGAGAACAGGGCAAGTTCTTATGTAGCATTACAGTTTCCAAGTGACTGCTAACATCATCTAGATATGGTTGGGACTTAAAAGTTATTAAAGATCGAAGAGAAGAGATCCTATTTCAATGGAACTTTGAGGCCAGATCAAGGTAAACTTTCATGCTGTAATGAGTTTGGGTTTTGCTTAGCATGTAATAGGGAGTCATTGATTATTTTGGGGCAAGGAGCTGAATAAAGATAATATTATAGTAATATTTTAGGAAGATTTAATTTGGCAGCCATGTGAAAGATGGGACAGAAGTTCTGAAATAAGAAACAGGAAAACTTAAATGAACAGGCCGTGGATGCTCGAACTAGGGCAGTGATTGTGGAGACTCGAAGGATGTGTGAGGTCAGAGGCACTGACTGGAGTGACACATGCATCTGGTTGGTTTCTCAGCTGATAAAGTCTTTGCTGTGAGTGGTTTCAGCAAATGCGTGCAGAGAACTACAAGGACACAAGAAGAAAGGCAGGCACGATGCAAAAGCATTCTGTTTTCAAGGAGAAGCTTAGAGGGATTGTCTAAAGACTAATCTCTTTGGAGGAAAAATACCCCAAATCCGTTTAGTATCCTACACGCTAAAGATATTAAAAGAAGATGATTCCATGGCAGAAGACAACAACAACAAACACATGTCTTCAAAGAGAGAAGTTCACATTTTAAAATGAATTGGAATCTTACTTTCTATTTTGATCTTCACTTGCAATTCAGCATATCACTTGATGCTGATATATAGAATTTGTTATCAGTTGTTATCCAGGGGAATTTGCCTAAACACAGATATAAAAATCAGGCTTGGATGTATGTCTGCTCTCCTGAGTGCTAGAGTTAAGGGATCGACAAGTTTCAGTGTTAAAGTTCCAGTCATTTTCACTCGTACATTAGAAAAAATGACAGAGAAAGAGGATTGCTGTTTTTGCTCTTTGAACACCACATATAATTAAAACAAAAACTAAACTGTCATTTATCATCTAAATGAGAATCATTTTGAGAGTAATATGAAACATCAATACTAATTATACCAAGGCAACCATTGTAAATTGGGTCTACCCTGGGGAAACCAGAAGATCTGGCTTATATATTGTTACATACAACTACCTGCAATGTTTTCATTTTCAAAACACCCAACTTTTGGGGAATTTAAAGAACTGGTACACAATAGGCTTTTGAGCCATGTAGGTAATACTTATATAAGTTTAAATGTAACAGGAGATGACACTTCTGATAAAACAAATTAAAAGGAAAAGCACAAAGAAAATGTTATTAGAATTATCCCACTGAGGATGATATTAATAATAGAGAAAATACTGGAAATATGTCACAAAAGGAGTGCTTCTTGCCATCTATTTTGTGCTGCAGTACACTTACTGGATCACCTTGTAGTGCCCCAGAAGATCCCACCACAGTATGATACTTACATGTACATGGGCTGTAGTTGTAAGTGTGATGTCTTCTGAGGCCCTTGGTAGCCGTAAGAGTCAAAGCCACCTATGAAATCAACTGAAAAGGGACAGGTGCCATCATTAGTTACCTTGTTAGAAGAGATTTTCATTCATGAACAAAGCCCATGTTGAGTACTAATACATACGAACCTTTTAATAATTTCCTAAATTAAAAATGACTAATTATGAAGAAACATTTTTAAAATACAATTTCTTTAAGGTAGTGGTCTACCTTAACCGTAGGATTCAACTGTTGCTTCTCAAGACTCTACTCACTTGGAGAAGAAATTATGTACTCTTTTCAAACAACCAGGACCTAATTGGAGTCACAAGACTTACTTACATGTTAAAGATGCTGTATGATTTTTGATTAACATGAAGAGTCTTTGTAACACATTACAGATATTGTAGCATAAAATAATGATTACTCAAGTGCACATATCTGTCAGCAACTGCAGAACTTGTGGTAATATTATGTATTCTGATTGTCAAGTAGAAGAAACGATGTTACACAGCATGCAAATCCATTCAACATGGCTGCTTCTGCTGTTGTGTTCCTTACAATTAGAAATGGACAGTAAGAGGTAAGGATGTGGAGTGAGGCCTCACCAAGGATTCAAACGCAAGAGCTATTTGTGGCAGATGGTGTCACAATGGTGCCAAAATGGCGGCCATCCCATTTCCTATTCCACATGTCCTTACAACCTGTCTGTGGCTCTCCTCTAACCAGTGGTTTGAGCTTTCATCCTTCCCTATTGAACATGAGCAAACCATGTGGCACATCTGAGTGTGGAAGAAACAACACTGTGTAACTTCCCGGGCTAGCTCATGAAAGTACCACATACTCTTCCTCTCTCGTGATACCGTCTCTTGGAACACAACCACCATGCCCAAATTCGCTCATGTGGAGACACACGGATAGGTGTCTCAGGTGACAGGATAGTGAATCTACAGACAGAATCCACATCCAGACTTGTGAGAGAAAATTCCACTAAATTATCCTGGATCCCAGCTGTTGAATGAACTTTTTCTTTTTGTTTTCCCAATTCAGGTCCCTGGCATTAGGGAACAGAGACAAGCTGTCCTCACTGCATCCCTAGCATCTGTGAGCATGTGGTTGCTTTGTACCACTAAGTTTGGGCAGAAGCAATAACCGAGATAGTCAATGCTAATAATCCTACTCTGCAAAAGTATTTGCTTCTTTTCATTTCTGGATATAGAGGTTTGTATGGTAGGGATAAAAGGCAAAATAACAAAAGTCCAAGAGAACAGATTACAGATAAGACTAGGGCAGTAGAGACCAGATGAGGACACACTCAGATGTCTTTGCTTTTTCTAGATTCTATTCTGTTGGTTTACTTTGCCCATACATGTTCTATTGTTCATGTTCTAGGGCATTTCAGGTGGCGATTGAAATAGTGTGCAGTGTCTCAAATCTGTGATGTCTGAGTAGTGCAGAAGCACCTTCTCTACTAAAAAAGAATTGATTTTTGGAGCAGTTTCAGTTTCATGGCAAAATTGAGCAAAAGTTACAAAAACAATTCTAACATATGCTTTGTCCTGTACACGCACAGCAACTTCCGCCATCAGCACAGTGGTGTATGGGCTACGAATGAGGAACCAATTTCCCCAACATCCTCACCCAAGGCCCCCAGGTCACATCAGGGTCCCCCTTGGTGCCATGGGTCCTACTGGTCTTAACAAATGAACGACACACATCCATCACTACAGCATCAAAGCAGATGCATTGTCTTACAAGTTCCTTATTCCACCTAAGCATCCCTCTCTTCCTACCTGGACACCACTGATCTTCATTGTCTCCATAATTTTAACACCTACAAAAATACTGTATAGTTGAATCCTATGTTGGTAGCCTTTCTGAGGAGTGGTTTCCCTCACTTAGTGATATGCATTTAATTCCCCTCTGTGACTTTTAGTGACATGATGGGAAGTTTCTTTTTAGCATGGGAAGTGTGTGTGTGTGTGTGTGTGTGTGTGTGTGTGTGTGTGTGTGTTTGAGACTCTCTC